AACCCTAAACCCTAACACCCTAGCACCCTCCTACGCTTGAACCTGCGGGCTCCCTGAACTTAAACCCTAAGCCGGGTTTAGGCTTGAGGCTTTAGGCTTTAGGGTTTCGGGTTTTGGGCTTTAGGCTTTAAGTTTAGGGTTGTGGGCTTTAGGCTTTAGGGTTTTGGGCTTTAGGGTTTCGGGTTTAAGGTTTTGGGTTTAGGCTGTAGGGTCTAAAGCCTCCACTTCCTGCCTGCCAGAGGTTCTCATAGTTCAAGCACTCCTCTGCGTACTTTGGCTGCTGAGCCCTGAACTCCTCTGTCAGGGGCGTTGTCTTGGGACGGATTTTGCAGTTTGAAGAGTCGGGTGCAGGATTTAGGGCCTACGGTTTAGGGCTTAGGGCTCAGGGTTTAGGGTTTAAAGACTTGATACGGCTTTTGCATATGGTTTTTGCTAGGCTTGTAGAGGGAATTATGAAAAATCTTTAACCTTCCAGGACGAGCACTCAAGGCAGCACTTCCTGTGAACCCTGAGAAGCATAAGACTTTGGCTGTTCCTGGTGTAGGATATAGCTTGGATACTGCCACCACTCAGTAACAGTTGAGTAATATTCATAATGTGGATGTATAAGGCCCATATCAGTGGCCCTATTATAGACTGTTACTGTATGGGGGCAGTACCCAACATATAGCTGAAGCGACCCTTGGAAAGCTCCTGGTGCAGGACGCGGATTTGTACTCAGCGCTGCCATCATCCCTCCTACTTGTCCCATTACGCTTGCTATCCTCAAACGCGACTGGTCCGCGCTCCTTCGTCAAATTTGCTGGGACTCCGACCAGCCCCTCACCCTCAGCCATAAACTAACAGTACACGCTGCACGCCCGGAAACATACCTCAGCCCCAAACCGTAAGCCCCAGACCCTAAACCCTATACCCGGAACCCCTGAACCCTAAACCCTAAACCCTAAATCCTAAACCCTGAATCCCAAACCCTAAACCTTAAACCCTAAATCCTAAACCCTAAACCCTAAACCTTAAACCCTAAATCTTAAACCCTAAACCAGCCTCCAACTCCGGCATCTTGGGTGGCGGGGGACGTCGCGGAGGCTTCATGCGCAAGGCCTCCATCATCCGAAAGCCATTAGGGTTTGGGTTTTTTTGGTTTTTGTTTTAAGGGTCTTTTGGGGTTTAGGGTATTAAATTAGGGTTTAGGGCTTTTTGGTTTTTGGTTTTAAGGGCCTTTTGGGGTTTAGGGTTTAAAGCTTAGGGATTGAATTAGGGTTTAGGGTTTAAAGATTAGGGTTTAAAGTTTAGGGAGTGTCGGGACTAAATTGGGGTTTAAAGTTTAGGGAGTATAGGGATTAAATTAGGGTTTAAAGTTTAGGGAGTGTAGGGATTAAATTGGGGTTTGAAGTTTAGGGAGTGTAGGGATTAAGATTAGGGTTTAGGGTTTAAAGCTTAGGGACTAAATTAGGGTTTAGGGTTTAAGGTTTAGGGTTTAGGGATAAAAGAGAGAGGGGCAATGGGGCCTTAATGAAAAGAACAGAATCGGGTTCCTTCCAAAGGTTTCCCGAAGGGGGCCCCTTTGAGGTTTGCAGTAAGGTCTCAGAATATGGGCTTTAGGGTTTAGGGTTTAGGGGTTTAGGGTTTAGGGTTTTAGGGGTTTTGGGTTAGGGTTTAGGGTTTAGGGTTTAGGGGTTTAGGGGCTTCATCAATTGGGATTTTGGAGGCATGTAGAGGCAAAAACCAAGGAAAGCCAGGGGGAATGCGACTTTCAACAATACTCGGGATTGGAAGAACCCGTTTTCTGGACAGATTCTAAGACCATCTTAAGGTGCAGCGAATTTCAATAACCCAGGGTGCTGCCTCTTGTAAGAGACTAAGAGCTTAGCCAAACCCTACACCCTAAACCCTCGGGCGTGCTGAGCTTCAAGAACTCGGGACTTTCGAATTTCGGATCTTCCATAGAGCCCTAGGCCCCAAGCGGAGGAATAGGTCCGTTCCTTCAAGTTCTGCAAGTGTCCAAAAAGCCCGCGCTCTTTCGAGTTTAGGTGCTGCAGGGCTCAAGCTCTGACAGTTTGGGTTGAGGGTTTAGGGCCACACATCTCCAAAGGGTGCACTCATCACCTACAAACGAAGACTCGAAGCCAAAACCCCAAATCCTTCCCTTACCAAGCACCCTAAGCTAAGCTATGATCCAAGGATCCTAATCCGATCTGACCCCCCGGGATGAACCCATCGGAACAAGGATCTGTTGCGAAGCCACGGTTGCTGTCCGCGTGCTTTTTTTGACTCTCGCCCCCAATCTACAGAGTCCGAAAACATCGGCAAGGAAATGACTGCCCAACACTAAACTCTAAGCCAGGCCCAACAACCGCTTTCCGAAGACGCGAGCCTCCTTCAGGGATAGTGCCTCCGCGGCTTTTGTCGCGGTACGGTCAAGAATGACTCCAGAAGTTGAGGCTTCAGGGCTTAGGGTTTAGGGTTTAGGGTTTAGGGCTCAGCTTTCAAAACACAGTTTCCGGAAATCTTTCTAGTAGTATGGGGAGACTTTCGGCAAGCAAGTGCAATCTGCGCAAGACAAGCTGGAGGTCTTGCTTATTCAGAGTAGGGTTGGGGGGTGTGTACTGTACTACATCCATAACGGGAACTGCAAGCGATGTATTATTCTTCGCTGTTCCTAGCCCTGCATCAGTCTATCTCCGGGCTTATGGTTTAGGGTTAGGTCTGGCGTGTACTGTTTAGGGTCAGGGTCTAGGGTCCAGAGTTTCCCTGAACCCGAAGGGGGGTTTAGGGTTTAGGGCAGTACCTGTGACCACGAAAGGGACGTGAGAATGGTCCTGACCAAAAACCGATGAACAATCTATCGACCAGCAAAGATCAAGATGGTAACCCCACGCGGCACAAGTACGCTGACGAAGCAAAGAAGGAGGATGAGCAAGGGGTTGAGTGAGTGCCTGTGTTGTGAAGTCACCTTATGGCCACCCTGCACCTGAAACCGAGAATCCAAAACCAAGGGACCCTTTTTTGAGCCCTCATCGGAAGCATTTAGGAATCCTTTAAGGAGCTCTTGCGGGAACCGTCCACTCAGATTTGTTCGAGGCTGAAGACGTTGGCTTGGGGCTGGTTGTGCTGCTCCTTCAATCTCATTGCCATGCATGCTGCAATACGTTTCATCTGCATATTAGCTCGCCTTCCATGTCACAGCAGTATCCTCCAATGTTCTTTCATATACATACACATTATACATATATATATATATACCGTCATATACTTTCACACGATGAGGCAAGACGTCTTCAACACCAACTCATCTTTGCGCTCTGGCAAACCGAGACCCAACCCTTAGCACAAACTGTCACCCTAAACCCCAAAACCTAAATCCCAGCACTCGCGCTGCAACCACGACACTGCGGATTCCGAAAGTCGCCCCTCAACCACAGACCCGATACCCTAATACTATAATATGATATGCTATGATTTACTCTAATAAGGCTAGAAGAAAACCCAAAAAGGGAACATGTATAATATACTACTGTAGGAACCTGATTAAGAAACCCTGGGTCTTTGTCAGGGATCTGTATAAATATCGATCCTTCTATTTTGGGGAGGAAGGGGCAGGGTTCCTGAATCAGGCTCCTACATTAAGCCCGTAGACCCCAAAATCTAACACAGAAGCCCCTGCAAAACCTTGAACCCCAACCCTAAACCCCTAAACCCCTAAACCCCCAAACCCCTAAACCCCTAAACACTAAAGCTTGCCTTCTTTTCTTCCTTGGGCATCTGCCCGAGGAACTCGCCGTCGAAGTCGCTGACATTGACCACTTCGAAGGCCGCCCCTGGTCAGGTTTAGGGTTTAGGGTTTAGGGGTTCAGGGGGTTAGGGCTTAGGGCTTAGGGGTTTAGGGCTTGAGGGTTCGAGGGTTTAGGGTTTAAGGGTTTAGGGTTTAGGGGTTTAGGGCTTGAGGGTTTGAGGGGTTCAGGTTTCGGGCTCCCCTCAAACCCTAAACCCGTAAACCCTAAACCCCTAAACCCCTGAACCCCAAACTCCTAAACCCTAAACCCTAAACGGAATTTGGGGTGTTGCCGGTGCCTGAACTTATGAGATTGGCGATTGGGTTTAGGGTTTGGGGTTTAGGTTTTAGGGTTTGGGGCTAGCGGGTTCTCCCAACCGGTGCAAATTAAAAAAAAAAAATATATATATATATGTCGACCTTCTTAATTACGAATCAAACGGAGCTTTGGGTTGTCCTTCGTATAAGACCAACAATAAGGACCCCGTATGGAATAGCATCATTACGAAGTAGGTCCGGCCCGTCTATGACTCATGCATCCCTGGCAACAAGGTCCTTCCAGGAACGCCTCACTTATATAGAGCTCTACACTTCTGCAACACCCCCATGTCTAAACCCTCAAATCCCTGTCAAGGTCCCCCAGGTCCCCCAAGCCTAATGCTCTGCATCCTACTAGGAGTTGGGATTAGGGGGACTCTTGGGGATAGACCCTCTCAATAAGCTCCTTTTGTAAAATGAGCCATCCGTAGGGTTAAGAAGGGTCCCCTTTAAGGGGTCTCGCTCATACTACCTAGGACCTACACCCGAGTGGGATGATGAGGAAAGGTTTTGAGCTTATGTAGACTAAGGGAAAATAACACTGATTTTTCAGGTCCGTTTTGACACATCAGCCAACCCTGGGAGGGACGTGGAGTCTTTCTGCCCCAAAGCACTCCGTGTTCAGGCGTGAGGGGCAGGTCGAGATTCAGAATATTTGGAGGTTCATGGGTAGTTTTAGTTGGGGTTATAAGTAGGGTAACTATACTTATAACCCATATTAGGGGACTTATAACCCTACTTATAACTACCCATCCTGAAGAATCTTGCCCGCTGCGTTCGCATTGAACACGCGGTAGATCTCGGCAGAGGGTTCGGTGACCACAGCGTGGATCGCATCTTGCAGCGTGTCCTGCCCTGCCATCGGCATGCCGGAGCAGATTGCAACGACTCGCTGGCACTTGTCCTTGAACTCCTGGATTTTCTCATGATCGGCTTCGTCAAGCTGGGACATGATCACTGTCAGGGCATTGGCGAGCACCTTTCCTGACCGGTCTTTGAGCTCATCTGCCGAGCCGCCGGTGCCATCCGACGGAAGGCTGTCTGGGTCAAACCGATCCAGGATGCTCGCCATCATCTTTTCGATTACCTTCAAGATGAACTTGGCTCGCTCTGGGTCGTTGTCATACGTTATGAAGTCGGTGCCCCCGGGTCTCGGATTGGACAGGCAACCGTTCTGAAAATCGACCCGCGAGGCCCTGGGACCCGGAACACCTTCATAATAAAGCCCCAGCCCCAAACAAAACAGCGGAAGAAAAGGATGAAGAGCGCAACCTCCCGAATCCTCGGCACCCTCAATCCTACCATCAGCAATCCCCGTCCGAAGCCTTCCATGCCCAGGGGAGACTCGCTGTCCGTGACCTCTGAGCATTCCGACCCCACGCACCACTGGCCTCAGGGGCACGGTCCTTGATAGCCAAACAAACCGGGCCTTCAAGTTTAGGGGTTAGGTGAATAACGGCGACAAAACAGCGTTCCATACGGTTGTTTTCATCGTAACCCCTAAGCCCTAAGAACTAAGCCCCGGGTTTAGGGCTTTAAGGGAGGAATACAGGGCCTCATAATTCGATATTGGACTTCGAATTGGGGTCGTCGGACTTATGCAAAATCAGATAGGCTCCCGTAGGAGCAAAGCGCAAGTCAAGTCTTTATGCTGGCAAACAAGGCTTGTGCAGAATCCGAATGATATGCTGCCTGTTAGGCTTCTCTGTCCTATACAAACCTTCTGCCGACAATCCTGTGCTTGAGCGTGACTTCTCAGCGCACAACATTTACATAAGGGCTTTCGGCAAACACTGCCCTGAAACAAACATGACCGCAAGACGTTGCATTCGAAGAGGGTTTTGGGATGTAGTCTAGCCTAGCTATACAAGACTATAACGGGGGGAACTACTCAAGCCTCTACAGTGCAGGGTTTGGTTCCGGATTAGTCAGGAGTGGAGTTCCACCGAAACTTGGAAACACTGCACAACGGCATACCGCAGATAGATCCGGATCCTAATGCAAGAACAGTACCGGACGGTTGCCGCAGCTCTAATGACATCCTATCCCATCACTTACAGGGCCTACGGTTAGCGCATTCAATAAGAAATCGTTGGGAATAACAAACGAGACCCTGGATTTGTGGGATTTCTTATCCGGGGTCCAAAAATCTATTTGCCTAATTCCTAACCCCTATAAACTACCGAAACCCCAAACCCCCCTAAACCCGACTCATGGATGGAGGTCGGCGTCCGACGCCGCCCGGCCGTCCCAAAAGTTCAATGGCGCGGTGTTTTAGGGGAAATCGTTTTGTTTGAAGCTAAATTGACGCGCCGTTGAACTTTTGCCCCACCCTCCGTACGGCCCCGCCCCCGGAGCCCGGCCCCCCGGCTCACCACAGGTTTACGGTTTAGGGGTTTAGGGGCTTAAGATTAGGGAGCGCTTCAAAGGGGCTTGCATGACTGGAAGAAGGCTGGTATAGGGTTTTATAGGAGGCCTGCATGACTTGAACAGGCCTAAACCCTAGGCCCTAAACCCTACTTACCTAAACCTCCACCCACGAGCCAAAAGCCGAAATCCTCAACGAAACCCAAACACCCAGACACTACCTGAGTGATTCTCTAGGGGGCCTATGTCCCCAAAATACTAGACGGCACCCTCACGAAAAGGGCCCTAAAAAGGACCCGAATTTAGAGAGCTACCTAAATACCCTAAACCCTGAACCCTAAATGTAAACCCTGAAGCTTCTCCCGCCCAGGGAGCCGGTGCTGCGCTTGAAGGACAAGGTGAGTCCCGACCCCGTAGAGGCCTTTGGGATGAGGCTTTTGGGTTTAGGGATGAGGGTTTAGGGATGAGGCTTGTG